GCCCCCACACTCCTCCCAGAGCCAGGGAGAGAACCCAGGAGTCCTGGTTCCCAGCCCCCCCTGCGCTAACCACTAGCCCCCACACTCCTCCCAGAGCCAGGGAGAGAACCCAGGAGTCCTGGCTCCCAGCCCCTTTGCGGGGTCTAACCACTAGACCCCTTGCACCCTACCCCCACTACTCCCTGTTGTCATGGCAGTCCTATCCCCCCTTGCGGTGGGGCCCCAGCGAGTGGAGGGAGGGTCTGGGGCCCCGGGGCGCAGCTGTGAACTTGACGAGGTCTCCCCGTCTACGAGCAGGTGGTACGAGCCCATGGAGGAGTCCGAGGTGAGCACCGTCGACAGCTACCCAGTGCCGCTCCCGTCTTACGAGGAGGCCGTCTATGGCTCCCAGGGGGGCCCCGTGCCGCCCGCCCCCCCTACGCCGACGCCCCTCATCCTCTCCAGGGGCCTGGCCCCCCCAGCGGAAGCAGCCGAGCCCCGTTGGAGTCCGGAGGCCGCCACCCCGCCCCCTTCCTACCAGGAGAGCCAAGCGGCAGCTGCGGGCGGCTCCGGCCTGGCCCGGCCCACCGCGCCCCCTGCCCGGTTCCTGTTCCCCGGGGCTGCAAAGGACCCGCGCAGGTGGCTGGGGGTCCCCGGCAGGGCCCCGACACTACAGCAGAGACGCCTCATTTGAAGCACACGCAGCCTGCTCCATCTTTTAACTTGCTGGGGGGGGGGGGCGGAGAGGACAATTCCCCCCCCCAGTTACTCAGCATCTCGTGAAGCTGATGGGACCGAAGCAGCCCCCCTCGGAGGGGCGTGTGCAGCCTTCCGCCTGGATCGGGGCCCCCGGGGCTGAGGGACCGGCCTTCTGCCCCCCTCACAAGCTAACGGCTCTGTCTCTGAGGGACCGACCTTTGCCAGCCGGCTGGTAGCCGCCGGCTCAGCGTGTTCTGACCTCTCTGCACTGCCACCCCGTGGGATCCCACTTTTCCTTGCCCCCCCTCCCCCCCACGCCTCCCACCAGGGTGTCAGTTCCCAGCAGAGCCGTCAAGGGTTAACTCAGGGTACCGCTGCCACCTCCCTCCAGCTGTGAGGATCCGGGGTGGGGGGGCAGATTTCTCCCTCCCCCGCCCCCCGTGTTCCTAATGCTCTGGCGAACATCCCCTGGGCTTGTTCCATTCTTGGGGGGCCTCCTCTGTGGTCAGCAACCTCCCCCCCCCCCCCAAAAAGAGACCCCGCTCCCCCCAGCTTTCCTGTGCTCCCCTCACCTCCCACCCCCATGCCGCCGTCCGTGGGTCCCTGCTGCCCCCTGCTGGAAGGAAGGAGCCCTGCCCTGTGTGTGTGTCTGGGTCCCCATCCATGCCCTTACTGGAGGGGGTGAGCCCTGCCCCTCCCCCCCCCATGTCCGTCTGTCCAGCTCCATGCACTTTCTCCCCGTGTGTGTGTGTGTGTGTGTGTGTGTGTGTGGATTAAAACGCCCCAGGCTGCTTTATCCCTGGGCCATACTGATGCCCACCCAGGCCGGGGGTGCTGCTCCGTGGCACTGGGGCTGGCGGGCAGGGGCAGTTGCACCCACATTCCAGCAGGGGGTGCCGCGGGTGTGGTTTAAATAGCTGCACCCTGCCTCCCTAGCGCTCCCCTGGGCTGGTGGCTCTTGTCTCCTCCCCCCTCCCTGCCCTTCCCACCCCCATTACCCGCGCACCCTGGCTTGGCTACAGGGGGGTGAGCTGGCACCCCTGGCGGGGGGAGCAGAGCGCGGGGGGAAGCGGCTGCAGGTTCGAATCCCGGCTGCCCCCCCAGGCCCATCCCGCACAACAACCGCTGGGTCCTTGGCGGGTGCTGGGCAGGGGTGAATCTTGGGCTATTCCTTGACGGGGGGCCTGGCTTCCTGTCTCTCCCCCTCCACTCCCCCGAGCCCTCCTCTCCCCCTCGTCAAATGTCACAAGGGGGCTTGTGGCTGCAAGTGGCCAGTGGCCCAGGTAGCCCCACGAAGCTCCCGTTGAAGCCGGGTCAGGTGCTAGGGCTGACGTGCCTACACACGGGCACAAACACACACACGCGCCCGCCCGCCACGGGGCTGGTTTTGCACAAGGTTGATTGTTCTAGGTTGGTATTTAATGACTCTGGGTTTGTTTTTCTTTGCTTTGATGTATTTAATGGGGGGGGGGGTTTTTCTCAACACTTCCCCCCCCCCCAATTTGTGCGCCCCTCCCCCCACCCATCTGTGATGCTGGGACGGGGGTTGTGGTCCTGGGGGCTGTGAAGGAGCCGAGGTGCTAATTAAAACACTCACCCCGCCTGCCCCTTGTCTCCCATGTCTGGTTTTGTGCTGGGGAGGGGCCGAGTGTTAGAACTAGGAGTGTGGGGGGTATAGGCCCCCATTTGTCCTTCTGATCGCCCCACGCCTTGTCCCCCTATACTCCTCCCAAAGGCTGTTGAGCGCTCCCCTCCCCCCCGTTGGCCTTGGCTGCGGGAGGCAGGTGCTTGAAGTTCGGGGGGAGGGATGTGGCGGGGGGGGGGGGGGGGCTTGACTTCGCCTCCTGCCTGGTTGTATGCGCCGGAGGCTCAGAGGGGCAGGGTGTCCCCTCTCCGCCACCCCCCCAATTCCAGTCAGAGCCGGCGGGAGCTGCAGCCCTTAAATCTGAGACCCCTGCTAGGCCTGTCACCCCTTCCCTGGTTCCGGCCCCCCTGCTGGGGAGCAATGGGGCTCCCAGCTCGATTCCCCAGCCCCACCTGCCCCCCTTTTGTGGCGGGACGGGGCCCTCAGGCCTTCCCCCCCGCTTGGGAGGAGGGGCAAGTCCCCTGTGCTTAGCGTTAGCCCTTTGATTTTATCCCAGCTGGTCCCGGCTCGTCCCCTCGCCTGGTGGGACACCCCCTTCGAAGGGCTGCTGACCACACTGGCCCCTGGCTACGGGGACCGGGGGGTTAAATCGACCCTGGGGCTGCTCAGTCCGGCGGGGCCTGGCCCCCTCTCTGCCCTCCTGTATGTGGCCCAGTCGCTGTGGCTGCCGCAGGGGTCCAGTGGGGGACCCAAAGCCGGGACCCCACACCGGTGCTGCGGCCCCCCCCGAGGGGCTGCTGGGTGATTCCAGCTCCCACCCTTGTGCCCATGCCAGTCGCATTAAATCCTTTAGCAGGAAGGCTGAAGCGGCGAGGCCGGCCCTCAGTTAGTTGGGGTGTTGCTGTTAGCTGTGACGTTCCGCCCCAGCCCTGGCTGCATCTCTCGGCGAAGGGACTGGAAGCTGCTAGAAACAAGGATGCTGTTGCCTCCCACTGGCCCTTTGTCTGCGTGGGAGGGAGCGGCCTCCAGGGCCCAGCCGGCCACAAGAATGTGGGGTGTCAAGGAAGAGACAGTGGGAGGCACCGGCCCGGCTTCCTTTGTTGTGCTGGGGCTGGGCCGACAGGTTCTGATCCCTGATCTGGTTTGTTTCACACTGCTTCCTGGTGGAGGGTGCAGGGCCCTGCCCCCATGGAGCTGGGCTTGGCCCAGGTCCCATCAGCACCCCGCTCTGCCCTTTCTCTTCCTTGCTCTGGGCAGGAGTGGCTGGGGGAGGGGAGGGGCTAGGACTCCTGGGTTCCTGTGTCCCAGCTCTGGGAAGGGGGGGTATTGGGGGAAGGGGGTTGGGATTGAGGGCCTCAGCAGAGTTGGGGAGCCCGGGGCTGGGCTAGCAGGGGGCTGTGGGTCAGGAGCGAGGGCCCCCGGCAGAGCTGGGGGGCTGGGCCCCTCCGGCGCTGCAGAGCCGAGCGCTCTCCTTGGGGCTGCGCCTTTGCGGCTTGCACAACAAGTGTGTACGTGCCCCGCCTGCCCACAGCCCGTGTCATCACCTCCCCACCCCCAGCCCGGCTGGATTCCCCCACCCCACGGTTGCCCCACAAACCTTCCTGTTCCTCCTCCCCTACCCTGGCCGCGGCCCGCCCTGGGCAGGGATCCCAGCTCCCCAGCCTCCCTCCTCCAGCCCCGAGTGCCTGCAACCCCTCGGGATGGCGTCCCAGCAGCTGCGGGCCCAGACCCTGCCCCTCTCCCCCGGGGCCCAGGAGCGGAGCTGGCAGCAGCAGTTCGAAGGAGCCTGGGAGCTGGGCCGCAGGGGGGTCCCCCTGCCCAGGGACCCCGACTGGAAAGCCCTGTGCGAGCGCAAGCCCTTCGAGAGGAACCTGCTGCAGAACCCGAACCCCGAAGGTAACGTCTGTCCCGCCGCGAGCGACCGATGCCAGCGCCCCCCCCCCCCCCCCCCCCCCCCGGCCGGGGCCTGGCTCCCCGGCTGAGCCAGCCCCGGCGGGGGGGGGGATGGGAAACTGGGCCGGGGAGGGGGGTATATGTACGGTGGTAACAGCCGGGGTCCCGTCGTGCCAGGCGCTGCACACCGTCCCGGCCCTGAAAAGCTCCCAGTCTCGCCAGCCAGGGTGGGTGAGGGAAGGGGGAAGGGCATGAGCCGGGGGGGGCACCTGGTTAATAAACCCCGGGGTGTGCCTGGCGAGTGGAGGGTCTGCGCAGGACTCGGGGGAGTTCCCCTCCCATGGAGCTATTTTGAAAGGTCCCCAGATCCCTCCCCTGTAGGGTGACCAGATGTCCCGATTTTATAAGGACAGTCCCGTTTTTTTGGGTCTTTTTCTTATCTAGGCTCCTATTACCCCCCCACCCCCGATTTTTCACATTTGCTGTCTGGTCACCCTGCCCACCTCCCCCCAGGGCCTAGCCGGCCGCTGGGCCAGAGCCAAGTGTGGGTGGGCTGGAATGCAGCCCGGGGAGCCCGACGAGGTGTGCCTGCTACCCCGCCCATGCGCCAGGCACCTGCCTCGCTCGCTCCAGTAACTGGCCCACTCGCCCCAGGGCCCCTCCAGTACCGTGCGGCGTGGGAAGGGTTAATCAGTGCTGCCACCCTCCCCCACTCCAACAGAGGGGTCCGGGGTCAACAGCTGCCCCTCCCCAGCGGTGGCTGCATCTCCGTGCCGGGGCACGGGACGGCCGTGTAAACCGCAGCCGTGACCTCCCCGAGAAGTGGCTGCATCTCAACACTGGGGAGGGATCTCTGTAAACAGCCGCCGTGCCCCTCCCCAGAGGTGGCTGCGTTTCAGCACTGGGGAGGGCTCTCCGTGTCAACGGCTGCTGTGCTCCTCCCCAGAGGTGGCTGCAGCGTATGGTGTTTCGGTGCAGTTGATAGCCTGCTACTGCACCCTACTCCAGAGGCAGCTGCATCCCAGCGCTGGGTGAGGGATCCCTGTGTTAACAGCTGCCACCTCCCACCCCAGAGGCAGCTGGTTGTCAGTGCAGGGTGAGGGATTTTGTATAAAGCCCCCCACGACCCACCCCAGAGATGGCCGCATCTCACTGCTAGTTGAGGGATCCCCGTATAAACAGCTGCCGTGCCCCACCCCAGAGGCAGCCGCATCTCAGGCGATGTGATTTCCTGTTTGGGATGTGCTGTGGGATCCCTCGGGGGCGGGGGGGTGGGGGCCCGAAGGCAGCCCAGTCTCCGGGGAGGTCTCTGCTGCAGGGAAGGAGGCTCGGGGGCCTGTCCCAGCTCACCAGCTCGTCTCTCTGGAGGAAAGGGGATTTAGCTCCGATGCCAGTCCCAGCCCGTCAGGGCTGCTGCTCTGGGACTGCTCCATCAGCTTGATGAATCAGCACCCCCCCCCACGCTTACAAATAGTTCTCCCCCGTGGCGCCTTCCAGAACCCTCCCCGGCTACTCTC